CAGCTTTTTAATGTCTTCTATCGTCAAGCAAGGTTGTTTAGCAAGTCCACCAAAGGGAGTCTGTAAGATGATACAGCAGCAAACAAGTTAGTGTGAACATTGCCAAGAGAGGTGTAACATTTCCAAAGACTCCTGCACATCAGAGATGGATTAGTGTGCAGCAATTGCCAACAGAGGAGCTTGCATTGCTGAGTGCAAAGCCAGCTGCAACATTGAGAGATATTTTTATATATTTACTCACATTAAAATGCAATAGCAGATATTCCTTATTGTCTCTGTTACTGAACATGCGAGTAATTTGCATTGCTCGTGGAAATAGCACAGGAATCTGACTTTTTATATACTTTTGTAATGAGGAGTACAGAACAGCATGTTCTATGCATGATATTTTTACCTCTATGTCCCAAGTCACATATTTTTCTTGTAATTGCTTAACTGTCTATGCCTACAGATGATCAGCCTTTTTCTAGTATTTTTCAAAAGCACTTTATGTTTAGAACATTAGCTTCAAATTGTGGCTTTTCCATCATCAGTCAATGCGCAGCCACAGTGTTGTCTTTTGGGCATCTCATCTATAAAGAATTAGAAATTTCTCCCAAGCCATCTTGGAACTTTGTTGGTATTAAGTGTTAGATGCATATCTGTACTTAGAAAATCTTGTTATACAGAACTTAGCTTGAAGAGTTGGGAAATGGAAGAAGTGTAGGAAGACTTCAGACTCATCTGAACTCTGCTTGTGTTTACTGATACTTGAAGAAAACTCCATCACAGCTATAACACATTGAAAATCAGTAAGAAAAAAACTGAACATGAGATTTCACACTGCAAAAGAAAGTAATCAGTCCAGTAAAGACAGCAAATGATCATAGAAAACATATTTTACACTGATTCCGTACATTGCCAAAAGTAAAAATATGAAAATAAAAAGCAGGATATGAAAATACATAAATCTGGAGAATTCAAAAGCTTACAAGTTTTGTTTCATTTTGTTTGCTACAATAAAAGCATTACCCAACCCTGGACTTTGTTGTTCTGTTTAGACCAAAATAGCCATTATTGCTTTTTTGAGACAGAAAAAAGGAATGAAAATGTAATAACCACATTGAGAAAAAAAAAATTGGGAGTGGGGACTTAGAGTCATTGTTGACTCCTGGTGATTATCTGGACAAGTCCCTGCAGATTTCTTGGCAAGATTTCAGAAGTAGTTTGCCCTTGCCTCCTCCCTTGGGCTGAGAGAGGGGGACTGGCCCAAGGTCACCCAGCTGGCTTTGTGCCTAAGGCAGGACTAGAACTCAGTCTCCTGGCTTTTAGCCCACTGCCTTAACCACTACACCAAACTGGCTCTCTTAGGAAAATGTACTTGTCTTTAATCATGCAACCATTTAAAAATACAGGTAGTTGTCAGTTAATTACTGTAATTGGAACTGGGAATTCCATCACTAAGTGACATGGTCATAAAGCAAAAAATCATATGAACGTGCTGACTTATAACAGCAGTTCCACCAATTCTGGTTGCAGTCATTAAGTGAATCACACATAGTTGTTAAGCGCAATGTCACATGACTACAACTTGCAAATTCCTGCAGTTTTCCCATTGTCTTTGCTTGGCGGAAGCCAACAGTGAAGGTCGCAAATGGCGATCACATGACCGTGGGGATGCTGTAATGGCCGCAACTTCAAGGGCCAGCTGTAAGTCTCCTCGTTCAGTGCTATCATAACATCGAATAGTCGCTGAATGAGTGGTTGCTAAGCGAGGACTACCTGTAATTAGTTTGATCATTTTCTTTCTTTCTGTTCTCCTTGGTTTGTAGACCAGGGAACACTGGATCTTTTCCTTAAACACCTTCAGGACACAGTGCCCACCAGTTTTTAAAAAGTTTTAATGTAGATTTTCATTCTTTTGTCTAAATAGTGACTAAAATCATATCAAATTTAATTTTTTAAATGCTACAACATCTTGATACTACAATGTTGAAAAATGTCAACTTGATGATGAACCACCATCAAATCAGTGCTGACTCTTGGTGAGCAACACAGATACTCTCCAACCTGTCCCTTCAAGTCTTCCAGTGGTGCACCCATTGCTGCTGTGATTGAATCCACTTGCTACTAATCATCCACTTTTTTTCCACCTTTCCCATTATAGACCTCTCAAGAGACATCTTAACATAGATCTCCTGAAAACTAAAACATAGTTAAAATGCTTTAACCCCCCCCCCCAGTTTTATTACATCCAATTTCCTCTATCCTCTCAAAATCTTGCCTCAGCTGGGTTCATATCTAAAAGGGGGGGGGGAATTATTTGGGGAAGAAATATTACAGCCTAGGATTTTCTAATATCCCTCCCCTTAATAATAAAATTTACATCCCCATACTCACTAGCCTACTTCCTCACCCTTCACACATATAGCCCATAGTATATCTCAAGCTGGGTGAGAGGCTGGGCCAGGTGCTTCATTGAACGTGCACACCCAACAGGTCAGTGATCTGCTTTGCTTGTGCAGTTGCTCCCCTAGTGCCACAGCTACACTTACAAGGGCAGAGAGCTGATCCCAAAATATGCAGGCTATGATTTTTCTTCTCAGCCAAGCTTCTTGGCCTTTGAACAGACTGTCGGGACTTTTATTTTAAAAAATAGATGGTGCAAAGACAAAAATTAAATTGAAATTTATTTATATTAAATTCAAATATATATGTAATATTCTTTGGACCCACAGTTCCCAAGCTGTGCTCTGCAATGCCACAGGACACCACAGGATATTTTAGAGTTTCAAGGGAAACACAGCAATACTTAACATCTGTCAGACACCATGTGAACCACTAGGGGCACTGTGAAAAAAATTACTGAGGCTCTAAGGGCGCTGTGAACTGGGAAACTTTGGGAACCTCTGTTTAGACACTTAATGGAGATCTCAGGAGCCCCACCCAAGGCTTTCAGATGTAATCTTACATGTACATATTCTTCTCATCCCATTATATACTTGTGAACCCTGAAATCAGAGACTATCTGCTTTGATCTCCAAGCCCATCCTTAAAGCACAGCATAAACATGATTACAAGTGGACGATCCCCAGGACAACTACTGTAAATATAATTCAGCAATGTGTTGCCCTCTCTGGTTGTAATTTTAAACATTATTAGGCAAACAAAGTGCATCAATGAGCCAAAGTATTCAGATATTCTGCATAGAATTGAGCTGAAAATAGTGTGGGTGAGCCAGGAATGGTGATGTGTCTTCCCCTGGTGAGCTGTCATCTAGTGGAAGCCTGCTCTTCACCAAAAGAGAGGAGCCAAGATTTTCACAGTAATTCAGCTAAGATCTGAATAAAATCCAGAAAGAACTTTAAGCCTGGAAGAGCAAACTAAAAAAAGTAGACTCCTTCAACTAGAGTTCAACTCATGGTGACTTCCAAGGATTGATCCATGCAATTTTCTTCACAATATAGAAGTAGTTTGCCACTGAATTCTTCCAGGATTTTTTTCAACTATGCAGTCTAGCATGCAACATTGGACTTTCCAGATGTTCCTGCATCTAAGTACTAATCAGATCTGACCCTGGTTAGCTTCTGAGATTGGCCAGCATTGGTTAGATGCTACCATATAGCTAGACCAAGCAAGCTGAGCAATCTTGGTAACATAACTGACAATGATTTTAACAACCACAGTCTCTCTGTAGCTCTTTTTGAAATGCCACATGACAGGATAAAATATCCAGGGATTGAAAAACTCAGTCCAGGGTGGATAGAGAGGAATGCAATGCCCAACTCCTGTACATTAAAAGGCCACTATTTCTGCAGCAGGACATAAGGAGGTAGTCACACATGTCAGATTGCAGCACACTTGCCCTGGAAGGAACAGGGGAAAAATGTATAAATGGTATTAAAAATACTTCAGATGCCTGGAAGAACATACATAGAGAAAAAAGCAATTTCTCTTACTATAGTGTGAAATGGTGAAAAGTTCCTATAAATATAGGACTACCAGATCTGGGCTGCAAAAATCCAGATGATCAACAGAATACATGAAGTGTTACAAGTTTTTGTATCTTTGCCACCATGTGGAGATTGTCTGGATTTTATACCTCATATATAGCCGCCATCCCTAAAGAAGAGGGAAGTCTAAAAGGAAGTTTTCTGAATTGCAGGAAAGTCTAGCTAGGGTACTTTAAAACTCTTATATAGATAATGAACTTTAATCCAACTTCCTTTTTTTAAGGCTGGGAGTCTTTTCTTAGTGAGAGGTCTTTTCTGAAAAAGGCCTGAAACAAAATGCAAGTTTGCAAAATTTGCAAACTATGAGGACCCCTCTTGCCACTTTGCTCACCTTCCTCTGTTATATCTTATAGCAAGACACATTCCAGCTTTGTCCTACTGGAGGCATGAGAGGAACATGAAAAATGATTTGAGTAGGAAATAGAAAGGCCAGGCAGCTACATCCAGGTGTCCATTCCTGACTTAAGGAAATGGTTATCTAAATGAATACTCAACTCTGGCATATCAGCAATTCTTTTCAACTCATGGCAAAGGAATTTAAAAATAAAATTTGCAGACATTGGCTGGATTCACACATTGTGCTAAATCGTGTGTGCTTATTAAATATTTATTAAACAAACAATAGTTGGAGTCACACAACAATCTAAGCCATAAACAATGGTATGTTTTTCAATTTATGGCTTAGTATAATGTGTAAAACCAGTCAGAGACAACTGTTCCTCTTATAGGACACCATCTTTATTTTATATCACTTTTCAGCAAGTTTGCAAATATGCTCTGTCCAGTAAAAGATTAATAATAGAACTCATAAATGATTCATATGTGCCCTCAATCTGAAAATGGCCTTTACTTGATCATTTTGCACCTGGAGGTCCTTGGCTATTTATCTCATTCCTTTCAATCCCGTGAAGTAACAGTGTTACATCACTCCAAACACCAGAGATAATATGTGCATTCTCTGGCACAGATATGGAGGGTCAGTGCAGGAACCAAATGAAGCACAAACTATGCAAAAAATACCCTACATTTTTATTCTTTTTAGGACTTCAGGAAATGGTAAGCATGTTTACGTCCACAAACAATTTGTAGGGATTGGTAGCATCAACACAGACTTCTGTAAATGCTCCCCTAACTGAAATTGCTGCAGAATTGATCCCTTATTGAAAGAACTTTAAGAAAGAAAGAAGCAAAACAGAAATACAATGCCCTTTATGCTGACAGAACCTTCATCCTCACTTTCCTCCAAACAAACACAATGCATAAGAAGAAAAAATAGTGCTAAATGCATCTCCCAAAAAGTTGGCTAATAGAATGTACAAGTTAGAGACCTGTAAGATAACAGCCAAATCCAGGAATACAGCAGGAAAAATGAACTGCCAGAGAATCAGATTGTCTTCATTTATGCTTTCCTTTTTATTTCTAACTCTCCCTTCACCAGTGTTGTCCAGCAAGTCAAAGCCAAAAGGGATGGGACAGGGAATCAATAAGGGCAGCAGACTCAATTTCTAAAGGCAAGCCACATAGACTAGGTAGTCAGCAGCTCAACTGCATCTTCCACTGCACCTTCACTTTGACTGTCCACCAAAGAATACAAGGGACAAGCTGGCTTCCTGTACCTTGCCTTTGCTAAGATGCAGTAACACTGAAGAATTCAGTTTCAAGTGACCATGATCATTGCCCATCTTTGCACTTCCCCTTCGTGACAGTATGGATCTTCTTGCAACTCCAATGGGCTAAAGCAATTCTCAGTGGTCCAAATACAAGTTTGCAAGCCCACAAGACAGGTGTAGGTGGAGCGTGCCTCTGAAGAGCCTACAGTTCATCTGTGCTGTGTGAAAGGGAAGCCAGCTTTTGAATATCATCTTCTTCTTCAGTCTGACCAGGTATCTCTACCATACTTGGTTGCATGTTTTCTGTTTCTTGATCAGCCTTGGGGCTTTTTTTATTCTTTGAAGGCTTTTTTGCCTTGCCTTCCCTTTTCTTGGTCTTCTGCCCTGCATTTGCCATGTCTCCTTTCTTTCCAGTCCATGTCTCTGCCAGGCAGCCTAGAAAAACCAGAAGGACAGGAACAGATCTTAAAATATCACCAAGTTGCCACTTCCCTCTATCCTGAATTAAACATCACTGTTCTCCTTCTCTCTTCCCAACTCACAAGCTGGAGTTTCCATTCAGTTTAAATTACTAGTTCCTGAGACCAGGGGCTGCTGGGTTGATTCCAGGTTAATATTTCACAGGACTATTGTGAAGAAGTAACACCTGGCAAAGACAGGACTTGCAAATGCCATCAGTCCTGGTGAGCAGATCAAAGGGAGGCTTCTTATCAATGGTTAATGCTAAGGACAGCATAACTTAGCATTATTTACAAATGAAACTATTTTAAGATTACACCCTGATTAAGTCATCTCTTCTTGTTAATTAATCAAATCTACCTATGAATAAAACTGGGTTTCAATGAAGAGACATTCCACCCTTCTCAGGCATGAAGGAAGGAAGAATTGTTTTGAAAGTGAAAATTACTATCTTTAAATGAGCTATCTCTTACAAGTTTTCCCTCAGCAATAAAAAAGGGCAACAGCTGTCAGCCAGAGTCTTGGCTTTTAAAGGTAATAATTCTTTTTAATATGTTGTTTCATAAGGGGCTGGAGAGAAGAAAGCCATTGATCTATTCTAATTAATCCGATTAATCAACATGAGAACTCTAGTGGCTAGCCAAATCTTGGAACAATTCTAATGCACCAAAGAGTTGGATTCACACCCTGTGCTAAGTCATGGTTTATTTTAATTATACTGTATAGAATTTAAAAAATGGCCAGCTAAACTAAAACTAAATAAGCCACACGTTCTCACATATGGCATGAGAAACCAGGCATCAAGTTCTTCTTCAGAAAGTGCAGCAGAAGGAGCAGAGGTCTATCTCTTTGACTATGCTTCTGTTTGTTTCCTAACAAGAACCCTTCCATTAAGTTAAGGAATGGAGTTCCCCCGATGTGTCTAGGCAGGCTTGGCTACTCAGTTATTTTAAAGGCTGAACTCAGCATAACTTTTGGGTGAGATAATATTTTGTTCCCCGTTTTGCTCCCTTTTCTGAAAGAAAGAGAGCTATCCATGGAATCCATTTATTTAAAAGCCACATGGCATCTAAACAGATGTAATGTTTTGCCTAAATTTAAAAGTGTTCTGTAAAGCAGTAAGTGGCAAGGAGCATCTGTCCTTTTTTAGCAACAACAGGGCAGGAAGTGAAAGCAGAGTGAGAAAAGATTATTACTCCCACCTATTTTTATTTCTGCTTTCATCCTGCCCCCAGTGCAGAGCCTAACACTGCACAGAAAAACATGTTTTCCCAACTTGGGCAGTGGGCTGAGTGCATCCCTGGATCCTAACCACCCACATCCATCAGTTCCATGAAAAGGAAACTCACTTGTGTCCTTTCCTTTCAACACATGATTTGCACAGAGAAACTGGGAAATATCTTCTTGTTGATAGTTTTTATACCAATCTTCAATCACGTCTTCATATTCTTCCACCATTGTCTCACACTAGCAGACAAAGGGAGAAAACCCAAAATCATTACAGTATGACTCTTCGGAGAAAGCTACAAAACCAAGGCTTCATACCACATCCATTCACACCCTGTTGATAATTTCATTTCAGTTATAAAACAGCTATTCAAGTGCCTCAGAATCCAGACACTACAGAATAACAGAAACGGTGAGTGTAAAAATAACAGAGGGGAAAGGAGTAGAAAAATGACATGTTCAGTATTTTAAGAATTCTAGGTTTACATTTTTTATTTTAAAAAGCTACTCTTTTTTGCAAGCCTGAATCTAAAAATGAGTGCTAATATCCCGTGAAATCGTAGAAGCTGGAAGGACACTACTCTGTCTTTATGCTGTTCGCTTCTGATAGGTTTCACACTCAATTAAAAATGCTGTTTTTAAAGGCCCGAAGGATATGGAACCCAAACACCTCAAGAACTGCCTTCTCTTGTCTGAGTCTCTCTTTTCACTTAAATTACCTGCCAAGACCCCCTCCACTATTTGACATATACAGGTATCTACTTATGACAGGATCTTTTAAGGTAGCACCGACTATTCCAACTGCCTCAAAATTCCCCTCCTGGCTCCTGAAAAATGGAGCTCAGGCAATAGATAGCTCAGCTATGTTAGGAGAGCATTTTGAGGCAAGAGTAAAGTGACTGCTGACTCTGTTTTTCACTGCTTTTGTTCTTATAACATTACTTGAAGGGAGAGCTTCTTCTGTTTGTGATAAGTCACCATTTTGAACCTTCTGTCTTGAATTCACTGAGTGGCCTCAAGAGTTTTATCATATTTTTAATACAGTATTGTACAGTGTTTTGTTGCCTTGTGGGTCCTAATGGGTGGAAAAACAGGGAAACAATATTTTAAAACAAATTAAAAAATACTCTGCATACGTCTTTGTATTTCTAGTAAACCAGCATTAATATATGCTAAATGCACAAATACATTGAGTTTGCATGACTGGTGACACTGATTGTTGTTTTTATACTGGGAATAAATAATACACAGGAGACAAGATGCTTATTTGGGGAAAACAGTGAGAAGCAATTCTAGAAAATGAAAATACTATTGAAATGTGTCCTTGCTTTGTGATGGCAGCAATAAGGCAGACTTTATTGATTATATTTTTTCCCATTACAAAACTAAGAGTTTTTGAAGGACACAAAGGATTTCTGGATAATTTCCCATCAGGCTCTGCCTATATCTAGATCTACTTTGCTCCAGGAAGTTCTGTTATCCTGGGCCTTCCTGACTGCACCTCCCCAACGGGGCAGACCTTTGAAAAAGTTACATACCCGGACACACCCAAGGCTGACTTCTATGACTCAAGCCTTATGCTACTGATTCTTAGTTTGAAATCCCCCCATACCCAGAAGCCCCCAATCCCTAGAAAGATACATTTATAATTTTTTTTCCTAAATGGCGATTGGCAAACTCAAGACCTGCTATGCCACTGAAGCTTCAGCAGTCTCCCTCCAAAACAACTTCTGTAAATTCTTCCTAAATATTCAGATTAATATAAATTTTAGCTAATGAGATGTTTCATTAAATTTTAAAAGTAACTGACCATTTTGAAACTTCTTCTTTTTTGGGCCCCTCAGAGCCTCCCTGGATTACGTCACACTGAAATTTTGAGGCAGAATAGCAATTACTGATGGTATAATTTTTAGAAATTACTTAAGGTATAAAAACACATTCAGCCTCACCTATTCTTGTGTGAATTAAAGCCCCAGACTGGAAAAAAGGTAAGTCCTACCCACTCCATGTTCCCTGCGGCCCTTGAATACAGAGAAAGGGAAATCCCCAGGCAAAGTTACCCATAACTGAGTTTCATCAACCAGGAGCTTTCATCATTTGGAACTGGACGAGTACCATCAGAAATTATTTTTAATACTACAGACATGAAGCTCCTTCCACCACCATACCTGTTTCTTAAGATCAGCCACTTCTGCAGAGGTTTCATTCCATAGCTCATATGGGATATCCATCACCACTTTTACTCCTTTGTGGACCAAGTTATGAAGAGTTTCAAATGTCTCAGACATACCCTAAAATAACAAGAGTAAGTAAAGAGTCTAATCTGGAAAAATCAAGACAGCCAAAGGAAAGTGAGGAACAGAACAAGGAAAACCAGTAATGCAAGTTAACTCTTGTAGAAATTATGCAATATATGGTAGAAGCAGAATAATTCTGGGACATAACAAACCTTTGCAAATCTGTTGCTTCCTGGTCTTTCTTTGTGCAAATTGTACTCCAAAAGCCTTTTGCAGATGTTTTCTGTCACCTCAATCAGCCGAATGTCCCTGCAGACAGAAAAGAATGCTGGGAAGTTAAAAGACATCTCTGGGTGTCCACTATTTCAATTTATGAAAATGAAAACTCAGCTTGCTTTAATTACAGGGAAGGACAGATGGCCAGTTTGAATCATCTATTTGTTACTTCCAAGTTTTTTCTCTGTCAGCACTATGGCACTTTACTTCATAGTTCTTATTTTAGCACACTGCTAATACCTCAATCAATTCTCAGCACTCCTCTGAAATTGCCTACTCACTGAGGGACTAGTCAAGATAAAGAAATGTTGCATCTCTTAACAATCTTGTTCCACTTACGATTTTGTGTACTTGATTTTGGACCCCTTGCCATCCAGAAAGCCATACTTTGTGTCAATCACCTCTTTGGTCTTGCCAGTTTCATCGAAGGAAGACTTCAGTTCCAAAGCAACATATTTGCAAACTAAAAATTGTCAAAACTCAAAACAATTAGTAACTGGCAAATGGTGACTGCTGATCCACTATATTACAAGTGTTGCAATACAAATCTATGAAATAGGCTCAAATGTCCACCTTGCTTATAGCAATGAACACATTGGAAAGCAATCCAGTGGCCTCATTACTCCATTTGCAAAACTGATTAATGACTCGCTGTGTAGAGATATAATGAAAATAAAAAGATTCACATACACTCTGAGTACTAAACAAATAATACTCACTGGAAACCTATTTCACTATGAATTTTAATCCCATGCTTCCTCTAGAATACTCTAAACAATGTGCCTTCTTGGTTATGGTACCTGCCTGGTGCAATGATTTCCCTCTGAGATTTAACTGGCCCTAACCCTGGTAACCGTCAGGAAGGCTTAGAGTTGGATAAGCTTGTCCTGTGAGATGGAGTATATGTTGGTGTGCCCCAACTGTGGATCTAACTTATCTTTTTGGGTTGTTTCTTTATTCTGTACATTCAAATTATGTTTGCATTGCTGTATGCCAGCCAGAGCCACACTTTTTGCAAGCCAGGCATCCACAGAAATCCTTTACATAATAAAGCAAAACCTATTTTCTGTCCCAATAAACCCACACAACTAGCTTTGCTTAAGTCACATCTTCTCAGTCTAAATTCAGTTTCTTTTCTTTATACTGCAATGTAAAGCTATTTCAGAAATCTTAAAAACCTATAGTTCTTTCTGTTTCTTTCTGTTCCTCTTTTCTCATTTACTCATCTGGACCCATTTTTAGTGACAACATTTTTCAGATCCTTTTTTCTATTCTGTTAATATTATAAAAAAATAAATAATAAATGCCCCAGCCCCCTTTGAAAAATAGCTAGTTTGTGGATATCATACAATTCACTATAGCAGGAAAACTCTTGTCGCAGAATTTATTTTATTTTATTTACCAACATTTGTATCCTGTCTACTCTTAAACACTCCAAGCAGCTAATAGGCTGCAATATAAAGAACATAATGATGAGGATGTTATCCCATCTTTCCCAGATTAAAAACATTTATTTTATACCCTCAAAATAACTTTGTACTGTGATGTGATTACATTAGAATTACATAAGCATTCCCTCATATTTGGAGTTTCTAAACACAATTATTCCCTACTATTTTGCTTCCTGCCCCACCCCATAAATCTACTATCTCACTATATATCACCTGGATTTCTGCTTCTTTCCCTTCATTATTACAACTTAAAACTACCTTGCAGTTAAGAGAACCTATTGATCTGGTACTGTTAGAGATTAATATATTACTTTATATTCAAACTTAAAATAAGCCCCTCCTTATTCATGACCTTATTGGGGAGAAGCAGATCAACCTGGCATGCATTACCGAGACCTGGCTAGCACCAGAAGGGGGTGTTGCCCTTTCGGAAATGTGTCCAGCCGGGTTTAGGGTTTGGCACCAGCCAAGACCCCAGGGTAGGGTAGGGGGTGTGGCAGTGGTCATCCAGGAATCTCTGCTGGCCTTCACGGGCTCTGCTCCACAAGTTGCTGAATGTGAGACCCTGTTCCTGAGGATGGGCATGCAGGATGAGTTGGGAGTTTTGCTTCTGTACCAGCCTCCCTGCTGCATAGCAACCTCCCTGCCTGAGCTGCTGGAGGCCATCTCGGGGTTGGCAGTGGAGCTCCCCAGGCTTGGGGGACTTTAATCTGCCATCCCTGGGGTTGCCTCGGAGGCAGCTCAGGAGTTCATGGCTACCATGGCGGCCACAGGCCTATCCAAGGTCATCCATGGCCCAACTCAGGACAGTGGTCACACTCCAGACATGGTTTTCTTGTCGGAGCAGTGGCAGCGTGATCTGGTGGGGGATTTGGTTTTATACCCTTTGTCATGGTTAGACCACTTGACCTTGAGATTCTCCTATGCTGCTCCCCTCCGCAGGGAGGGGGGACCTATTCGAACGGTCCGCCCCTGGCGAGTGATGGACCTGCAAGGGTTGCAAAAGGAGCTGGGGGTTGTTCCTGAGGCCTTGCTGCATGGTCCAGCGGAGGCCCTGGCCGCAGCCTGTAATAAGGAGGCAGCCGGGGCCTTGGACAGGATCGTGCCTGTGCGGCCTCTCTCAGCCCATCACCCCCCAGCACTCCCCATGGTTTACGGAGGAGTTAAGGGAGCTGAAAAGGGCCAAGAGACATCTAGAGCATTGCTGGCAGAAAACTAAGGACAAGTCTGACCAAACACAGGTTAGAGCCGCTATTAAGGCCTACTTCGTGGTGGTAAGGGTGGCGAAACATTTCTATTTCTCCTCTTATTGCATCCTCAGAGTGTCGCCTGGCAGCCCTGTTTAGGGTCACCCGGTCCCTCCTCGGTAGGGAGGGCTCAGAGGACCACCTACAGGGCCGGGCAGAGGAATTTGCTGAACACCTGATGGATAAAATCGCTCAGATCTGTTCTCAGTTGGAGGCCAAGCATGAGGCAGGTCCACTGGAGATGCCCAAAGAGCGGACTTACCCAGTTATCTGGGAACGGTTTGATCCTGTTGGACCTGAGAAAGTGGACAGGGTCCTCAGGGCTGTTAGCACGGCTACCTGTATTTTAGATCCTTGTCCCTCCTGGTTGGTTAAAGCCACCACGGAGGTGACATTAGGGTGGGTACTGGCAGTGGTCAATTCATCCTTGCAGGAGAGGCTGTTCCCGAAGCCTTTTAAGGAGGCTTTGGTCCACCCCCTCCTCAAGAAACCATTGCTAGATCCCACCCTTCTGGACAATTTTCATCCAGTTTCCTACCTTCCCTTTTTAGGAAAGGTGGTGGAAAAGGTGGTTGCACAACAGCTTCAGAGGATCCTGGAGGAAATGGATTATCTGGACTCCTCTCAGTCAGGTTTCAGGCCCAGTTATGGGACAGAAACAGCATTGGTTGTACTTTTAGATGATCTCTGGTGAGAGCGAGATGGGGGTAGTGCATCCATCCTTGTTTTTCTTATCCTTTTGGCGGCTTTCAATACCATCAACCATGGTATCCTTTTGGGTTGGCTGCAGGAGTTGGGTCGCACAGTTTCTCCAAGGCTGATCCCAATCGATGTTGATAGGGAGCAAGAGGTCCAACCCACAGCTCCTACTTTGTGAGGTGCCTCAGGGTTTGGTGCTCTTGCCACTCTTATTTAACATCTACATGAAACCATGGGTTAGATCATCCGGCACCATGGGATGAGGTATCATCAGTATGCTGATGATACTCAATTATACATCTCCATCCTTGGTGACTTAAGTGATGCTGGGGCTACCCTTTTGCGGTGCCTGAAGGCTGTAGGGGCCTGAATGGGGGACAACAGGCTTCAACTGAGCCCTGGTAAGATGGAGTGGCTTTGGGTACAGGGAGCCTCAAGATCTAGTTTATCGCCTTTGGTTCTTGATGGGGTTGCACTACCCCAAACATGGTGCATAATCTGGGGGTCCTCCTAGACTCACGACTCCTGCTCGAAGAGCAGGTGGCAGTCATGGCTAGAAGGGCCTTTGCACAACTTTGTGTTGTGCGTCGGTTATGCCCCTTCCTGGATTGGGAAGCTCTCCAAACAGTCACTCATGCCCTGGTCACCTCCCAGTTGGATTACTGCAATGCACTCTACAGGGGCTACCCTTGAAGAGTATCTGGAAGCTATGGCTGGCGCAAAATGCGGTGGCGCAGACAGTTCTGAATGCCCCTAGGAGGGCACATATAACCCCGCTGTTACACGAGCTGCATTGGTTGCCAGTTTGCTTCTGGGTCCAATTCAAGGTGTTGGTTATTACCTTTAAAGCCCTTCATGGCACAGGACCAGGTTATCTGAGGAGCCATCTCATCCCCGTTATATCAGCCCGCCCCACTCAGTCCAGCAGAAAGGGCATATTGCGGACCCCACCAGTCAAGGAATTTCGACTGGTGGGCCTTTTCTGCTGTGGCCTCCGCTCTGTTGAACAACTTACCACCCAAGGTGCAGTGTGCCCCCATTCTCATGGTCTTCAGGAACAGTGTGAAGTCTTGGCTATGCCAGATAGCTTGTGGCCCGGATGGGGGCTTGCACTACTGGAATTGGCTTGTGGGGTAATTGATTCTACCTCCCCCATCATCTTGAATATTTTTACTCTTTTTATATATATGGTTTATATATATACACACAGACACATATATACATACACACACACACACTTTTTAACTAAACGAATGTGGATATTTATATTTTTAACTGTTTGAGGTTTTATTTTAATTGTGAGCCACCCAGAGTCACCCTCTGGGGGAGATGGGAGATATATAAATTTAATAAATAAATAAATAAATTAGCAAATATTTTTTCACCTACAAGAGTATTGTCGCATTTTAAGGATTAGGACGAAGAATAAATACATTCATCTTCGTGGCTACGACAAAATCGGTGCTCCATTCATTCTGGAAATATACTTGAAGGAATATAAAACTATTTACAGTGCATCTGAATCATCCTCATAGCTGGGCCTGCTGTAAAGCGACTTTTCCTTGTCTAAGCTCTTTTTTAAGCTACTACCGCTACAGAGCTGACAGCAAAGGTACTTCCATCACTTTCACTCACTCCCTCCAATTCCCATCAGCGCCTCTCACTCCGTACGTACTCCTGAATCCAAGCTCACCTTCGCATTTACTGGGCAGCTTAACCCAGTCGCTGTCTTCAGCAACGGCTCCCCCCAGCCCAGGAGCCGAAACCAGAAGCAAAGCCAATAAGGCACCGACGTTCGGAACCCACGAAGCCATCGGGGGCCTCCCTTGAGGTTGCCACGCCGCTACAGCCCCAACAGCCGCACACACGGACACTCGCAATCTTCCCTCCACTTCCGGGATCCTCCCCTTCTAGTGTAACTATAACAACTAAACGTACCAGCCAATTGCGGCCACAATCGTAGCATGTTCCAACAGACGACTCGGATTGCTTCAGTTACCAGCCAATCAAAGACTCACAGAGGTTCTAATTTCCCCAATAAGAACGGCGGAAAACGTGCTTTTTCCCGCCTTCCTTCTCCTCTTGAAGTGCTGTTCTCGTTCCTCTCTGATTGGCTTGACTGACTTCCTCCCTGTTTATCACGCTCACCCCATTCGCTACAAAAGGCGGGGGTGGGAGGAAGTGCTCCTTCCTGTTTGGGCTCAGGGTAGCGCAGTAGTCAAATTCGGTGTGCTTTCTTTGTATTATTCAGATTTTCCATTTATTCGAAGTAATAATAAAGAAGGAATGGGATAGGTAGGGCTTCTCCAGCTTGGCACCTCCAACTTGGCCTGAAAATTCTGTAATGGAAGTAAATGAGAATTCTGGGAGCTGTAGTTGAATACATTTGGCAGGCACCATGTTTGGAAATAGACATAAGACATTTTGCTGCTGAGACTGAGCATGAAATGGCACCCTGTCCCTCCAAGTCAAAACAAATAATATTCAAGATTGGCCAAAATATTTTATTTCCTGGCAGTACAAATGCAAGATCAGAATGAGTACTTATTTATTTATACATCACATTTATATAGCTGCCCATCTCACAAAGTGACTCTGAGCAGCTATATTATAGTTTGCTCTCTCTTGCTGGTGTTCAGAGGGAGCTGTCTGAGAGCTGCCTCATTCTGCTTAGTGGCCTTCTGCAAATGGGCACCCCCCAGATATGTAGGACCAATCCCACAATCCATTGTCTCTGCTGGTCAGAGGTATATGGAAGCACCATATCTGTAAGAAATCCAGTTTGAGAAAGCTCATTTACAAGAATGCAGTGGTCAGTAGTATATCCCACTAAGCAATTGTGCTTATTCTTAGGTAAATTTGTATGACTGCAACCTTGAGTGATTACGTGCCATCAAGTTGTTGTCGACTCTTAGTGACATAGATATTCTCCATGATGATCTGTCCCTAGCCTGGTGCTTCAGGTCTTGCAAAGGTGTCCCATTGCCACTGTAACTAGGTATACACCTTGCTGCTGGTCATCCTTTTCTTCTCTTTCCTTCTGCCTTTCTTACAGAAGCTTCAATATTCAGTTTTATCAGTATGGCTGCAAGTGGGAGAAGATTTAATAATTCCTCCCCCTACCTTGATGTCCTCATTCTGTTTAAAACTACATATCTCAAAATTGTGGCCCTTTGTTTCTGGGGAGAGAAAAGTTTCTAGGCATCAGATGGTATTGCATAATTTCATTCTGATACCTCATCCTCATCCACTAAATTGTTTCCTTCATGCTGCAGAATACAGTAGGGATAACTTGGTGTCCTACTTTCCATCTCTCTTCTACTACCATGATGTACATAAAAAAGTTAAAACTGGAATAACTAAAGGCTATTCCCTTTTGGACTGACCATGATTATTTCCCACAATATTCTTTTCCTGTGACTCTGAAAGGTTCTGTGCCTTTTGATATTTAGATGTAGATAGGTATATAAATAAAATAAATTCTTGCCTCCCTCCCTCTCTCATTCTGCTTTTGCCTGCCTTTGTCCCATTTTGCCAGCTATTTTGTGGCTTCTTGATGTTTAATAAATAAATATTAAACTGTATTTTTTGCTAGCTGAACTATGTGGTGTGCATGCTTGCTCTGATCTTGCTATATGGAGTGACTAGGAGTAATTATCCAATATATTCAAGGAAAAAAATCATTGATCTCAGTTGGCCTTTAATATAAATATACATAGGATTGAGTTGTCAGTCTCTCATTACTTGATAACTCAAAAGATAACCATACCTTTTGTATTATACTTTACGTGCAAGAACTTTATAGAGTCCTTATAAAACCTTATAGAAATGGGCAACCTGTGGCCCTTCGTATGTTCCTGAATTACAGTTCCCGTTTCACTCATCACTGACCATGCTGGCTGGGTTTAGTGGAAATTAAAGCTGAGGTCATTTGGAAGGATGTAGGGTGCTCTCCCATTATAGGTATGTGGCTACATTTGTGCAAGATGCTTACTCACAATTAATCTTTAAATTTAATTAATCAAATTTCCTGGCTTCATATAAGACACTGAATTATAATCTAATCATATTGCCTGGATCTTCACAGCCTGCTAGGCTAAAATGTGATTAGCTATTTTTGGGTCCATTGTGTCGTGTGAATACATTAGCATTAGTATCTTGGATACTGCAGCTGGGGAAAACTAAAAGGCAAAAGAGAAGGTTGTTCCAGGCCATCACAAAAGCTTGTGGCACAAATAACTTTCAAACTGGGGATCTCCCTATGCCATAGTTAAGCAGATCACTATTCTGCAGTTAATACAGGTGTAAGCTTTAATGTTACTAGACCCTAACCTGGAGATGCCTGCCCACAGTTCATTTTTGTAACTCCTAATTTGTCATATTGCCACAATGCAAATGATACAATTAGTCACTGATCTAGTCAATTTATCTTTACTAGTATATCTGGCAGCATGCTATCATACTAACTGGATCAGAAGACAGGAGTTGGGAATATGGAACTTCCATCCACTTTCTCCAGGAAATGCCTGGAATCTCATGAGCCCTTGCACTAGGCTAGAAAGGGGTCTTATCACTAGCCCCTTCCCCATTGGCCAGAGAGGCAATAGTGAGGGGAAAGAAGAAAAATGGAGAGGAGAAAAGAAAACTAGCAGTGTTCCAAGTCCTGATCCACACAAAAACTTACAAACCTTCATTCCAGCTGCCTCTCCCTGCTGTCATCTTTCCTTTCAGCAGTTCCTTCACACTAACCCCTATCATACATACAGTACTCAGATCTAGGGATATTTTCCTGCAACCCCTGTTTTCCTCCTTTCCCCTACAGGTACATAAAAGGCAGAAGATAAGCTGCCAGTGAGAGAACCAAAAAGCATTCCGCTCCCTTCTCCATTCCCTCAACCCTCAGGATGGTCCTCATGAAACGACTCATGAAAAGAAAAACACTCTAAGCAAGGACAAGAAAGCCTTTAATGAGAGAGAAAAAAGCACCAATGAAGAAAGCAGCCATCTCCACCCCAGGGGACTAAGGCAACTCAGGAACAGGAGAAAGGGGGAGAGAATTCTGGAAGTTGAAGTCCACACATCTTAACGTTGCTGAGATTGAGAAACTCTGCCTTAAGGCATATCCATCTTTTTTCAGGCTTCCACACAAGCCTGAAAAATAGATGATGATGCTTTAATGAATCATTAATGAATTATTTAATAAATCATTAAGGCAGCATGTTTTACATTTCTATAAGCAGATAAGCTTTATGTTAATCCTGATGATGATTAAGCAGCAATGTGGAATTAGTCTGATGTTTCTTGAAGCCACCAAATGGAGAGATCCCACTGATTTACAGTTCAGTCAAAGGCTGTCTTCATCATCCAATTGCTGGAACCTGGGAGTTAATAACTGAAACCAGGATACTTTCTTATGATCCTGGAATTCTGAATGGACATCTTATCACAAAATGATAGCATTGCAGGTGACCTTTATGACACTGTAGTCTACATTGTGCTGCATCCATAGCATATCTAATAAATGGACTTCCAATTTCTAAATAATATTAGTCCATCACTGTTTGAGGCAGACTGTTCCAGATTCCTTGAAACATTTCATATACTTTTTAAAAAGTATTAGCACCTTTGTTCATCTTTGCTTTTTACAATTTGAGCCTATGATAACAATATGCTACAGTTTTGCTTACTTCTTGTAAAGGATGCAGCAGGTCATCAATACATTAAACATGAGGAGCTTGAACAGCAAAGTTCTGATGGCCAGAAGATGTAGTTCTTGTGTGCGGTTATGCAGAATTTCAGTGGATAGTATCTGGTCCTCCACTGCTACAAAAAGCAAACAAAAACAGTGCTTTAGAGCAATATTTGTAGCAAATACTCATTTCTTAGACATTTCTAGTCCTGATGTTCCCAAATGATATATTCTGTGATTTTATTAACTATCTCTTTGAACTTACTTTAAACTACAGGTTCAGAACCAGGATGCATTAAACTGTGAACGTGTGTTCTATGGTTTTACAAGTCATTGCTCCGTTGATTGACAAATCATAAATATTATTTAAATCTGCTTCTTCAGCCATTTTAGTCACATATAAATCATTCTTTTAACGTAAACACAAATATAGTATTCAAACATGCAACATTTTGACAACATTCTGTGAATTAGTTAAACCTCATCAATGTTTTATTTGAAATGATCCTTTATGTTGTCTGAGAAAACATAGAAAAAGCACAAGGACTGATGAAATGAGTGGCCCATAAAAAGTGATTGAATGAAATGCAGTAATTCCCTTCTAGATGCTTAGCATGGAACTACTTAGAAAATAAGGAAATATTCTGCTTTTACCTCCTTGACTTTCATCCAGGCATGGATCATCCATATGTTCTTCTGTAAAATAAAATTAATAGTTACTATGAAAACATTATTATTTTCTTGAATTCTTAAAATTTCCAAGTTATTAATATCTTCAGTTAAGTTAAAGAACAAGTATGATGTTTTTGACTCATTTTTTAACTAGGTTTTTATCTAGTTTTTAGGACTTGTGTGGAGAACAGATCATGTTTTAGGTAATATTTATGCATAAATATTGAAAATTCAGAAGGGTTCGCAAACTTTTAAGCACCACTGTAGTTATTAGACATAAGTGGTTTATTTATTTCTTGCCTGCCCAACCCCAGTAAAATTGTTACCTTTATTTATATGGGGCCAGTGTGCACAAATTAATTATTTTAGTTTGAGGAACTAAGCCCTACTATGTTTGGTTTTGGCTTAATGTGTTTTGTGGATTCAGGTATTATGATTTGTAATCAATAATTTTATGGCTCAGCATGTCATGTTAACCTAGCCAACTCTGCTTTATTTAATAAATCATGGTTAAATAAGCCAGAGTTAATGCAATTTATGAACCTAGCCACTATATAATAATGTAATGTCATTTTTTTACACTTTAATATTTTCTCCCTCCCCCTTGGATAAATACCAGAGATTTGTAGAGAGGTAGTGTTCCATATGCTTGAGGTTTGGTTTTGTGCAACAGAGCAAATGACAGTATTCCATGATTCAAATTCTTTGCTGGGGATGGAAATTTGAGAGATTTTGCTGAAAGAGCCATCTTCTTCCTTGGAAATGCCATAAGTATAAGATTCCAACATGCTCCCATTTCCATTGGAAAACCAAATGACTCTCAGTGAGTCCTCTGAGAAATCATTCACCAAACATACAATCAGGGTCCTTCTCTCACCATTTACTTGCAGATAGAGTGGTGGTGTCAGGGTTGAAAATAAACCCAAGGAGTAGTGACCTGTTATCCAAAGAAATGGCTTATTATAAAGATGCATGCACAAAATTAGTTTGGAGGACTACTTTTTCCCCCTATGGAAATAATAGAGCTTTGCTGAGATTGTTGTTGTTTTTGGAGGTTCTCTGGGATTTATTTGTGTCTTTTTCCATAAAAATATAGTTCCTTCCCCTCCCCTTGGGCACTCACTTTGCTTCATTCACAGAATTTTACAAATCTTCCCAACACCGTTGTCTTATTTATGTAACTCAACTATGTTTTTTCCAATTGTTTCTTTTTTCTTTTCTTTTCTTTTCTTTTCCCAAAGAAGTTCTGAAAATTTTACTCACATGTCAAGAGCTGGAGTGCTGTAATGATCAACAGATGCCCAAGTGGCCTCCAGGCCAAGTTCACATGGGGAGCCCACAGCATCATTTCAAGGAACAGGAATGCTTCTGAAATGTGTGGTTTTAACTGACAAACTCAACTGTAGCACTTCTTCCTTTCTGACCACCGTTTTTCTTTCCCATTGCTAACAGCTGCACAGCTGCTTGACAAAACAGCCAAGGTTGTTGTTTTTTTTAACTCACTGTCCTTTTTAATATTTTCACAATGGCTGGTCTGTTTGTATTGTCACAAACAGGTTTTGTGCTACTATTTAAAAATAAATGTATCTAAAACATGAATAGATACAATAGGTACATGTATGTGTGTACATATCGTTTATTTATTTTTAACCATTTATATAACTGCCCATCTCAAACTGCCTCTGGGCAGCATATATGTTGATTGATTGATTGATTGATTGATTACATACCGTCAAGTCATTTTTGACTCTTAGCGACCACACAGATAGATTTTCTCCATGACAATCTGTCTCTAACCTGGTCTTTCAGGTCTTCCAACTGTGCACCCATCACCACCGTAACTGGGTTTGCTGCTGGCCATCCTCTTCTCTTTCCTTCCACCTTTCCTAGCATTCGAGTCTTTTCTAGATATTTGCATAATATGTCCAAAGTAGGATAATTTGATCCTGGTCATTTGTGCCTCAAGTGAGAACTTTGGGTTGATTTATGCAATGCTCCATTGCTTTTGGACTCTTTTAGACTCCAGAGAATAAGTATTCTCAGGATTCTTCTCCAACACCAAAGTTCAAAACCATCAATACTCTTCCTATCCTGTTTCTTCAAAGTCCACAGCATATATATATCCCCCCCTTTTTCTTCTTAAAGTGTGATTAGCATCTTGCACAGCTTTTAGAATGTGTTAATAACACCTATTGGGAGGAATAAGGAAGACAATTGGATCAGGTTTTGTAACTCCTTAAGACTAACAAACTTTCATGAATCAGACTTAACTTCATTAGCATTGAAGAACATTGTCTTGAAATAGGCAATATACAGCTTTAATAGGGTTATCATAAATACAGGGAACACTATAGATAGTGACTGGCTTTGTCGATGGCATTCCTTAGGTAATTCTCACTGTCTTTGACCAATCCATTTCCAAAGTGGCTATGTATTTATAATTCTCCTGTGTCAATATGTTCTATGCATCTAGTGGTGCGGTCTGTGATCCATAATGTATTAATCTTTGAAGTGCCACGATATTTTTGATGGCTTTTGCAAACAACTAACTCAGCTAAAAGTAAAGCCAAGTCAGCTCTGCTACTTGTGACTTCATGAATTACAGTGGTACCTCGGGATACGAACGCCTCTACTAACGAACATTTCGGGTTACGA